ATATAAAAAAAACATTCCAGAAACATTACATGGCAGATGCTCTATTTTCCCGGGAAATTTTTTTCCATTTATCATTCGATACATTATCTTGTTTTTAAAAAAATTAAATTTTTTTCCAAAAAAAATATTGAATCATATCACGCGGGGAATGATTCAAAAATTGAATTTTTCAAAAAAAATCATGACACACCTATATTTGTTTTTCCATTCATCCATCCATTCGTTTGTTCATATTTCATAATCCAAGTTCGTCATGAGAATTTTGACAATTTTAATTGGGTCGTTATCTTTTTTTCCATTGAAAAAAATGAAAATAATCTTAACATATTTTTCGGATTAAAATCCCAAAGCCTCAATATGATGAGAAAAACAACAATGAAAATTCCAGAATTTTCATTCTGGAATTTTCCTCATCTCATCATCATTTTCATTATTATTGTCGTCATGGTTGTGGATGATTTCCATTTCTTTTGTCCATTTTTGTCAATCGACTTGGAATTGAAATGAAATGTCATAATCTAAGTCTATCAAATGATTATGATGATCCAGATGATGATGATGATAAAGGATAAGTTTTTTTTGTCCAATTCAATTCACTCATACAATAATAATAATAATGACTTGAATCCTTGTTCCAATCAATTTGGTTACCATGATGATGATAAGCACTCTAATCATCATCAACATTATTTTTGACTGTAGAATTCAATGTATGTATATTTTGGTTTTTATTTCTTATCATCTTCATTCTTTTCTCATTGTTTTAACTTGTATCCAAAATGGTCATCATCATCTTCATCATTATGATCATGGAGAGAATGGCGTGGCGCCACCAAAGTCTCGATAAAGTTTGCTATAGACACATAACATTGTCAATGGGAGAATAAAGCCTCATTGTTTTTGTTAAAAGATGATGTTTGATGTGTGAAATGGTAATAATAACATCAGTAAAAAAATGTTTCAAAATGAAAAGTTTTCATGTGAGAAAAACTTTTTCTCTCTCTCTCTGTATCTCTTCTTGGCTATCGAACGGCAAAAAAATGTTTCTCAAATTTTGGACCATTTCCTCATTGTGTTTCGGTTTTCATTCATTCATTTTTTTGTTCTTGAAGAATTTTGTTAAAAGTATGCTGTGTGATACTAATAACAAGCAATAAAAAAAAATCGAAATATAAATGGCTTCATTGTGTGTGTGTGTGTTTTTAGAAATGAAAAACTTGGTAAGTGGAGAATATTTTTGTTTCGTAAGAAAAATTCTGCTGATTTGGTCAGTGTGTGGCCACCATCACCACCACCACCACCACCACTTTTATTCTATGCATCAATGTCGAAAAAAACAAATCGATTTCATCCACAATCAACACCACCATGAACAACAATACTCAATGTTGAGAAATTCCAAACAGAGATTTTCAATCTCTGCCCTCTATTATTATCTTTTTTTTTGGTTGTATGTATATTGTGGATACATTATTATCATCATGATCATGATCACGATCAAGGAAATTTGATATTTCAATCATGGACATACATACATAGTATTTTAATTTTTGGTTTTTCGTATATTTTTTTCGATTTATTTTTTTTTCATTCAATCTTTGGATGTACATGATTCCATATAGAGAATTTTTCATCATTTACAATTTATATTTGACAATGATGAAGCATTACAATTGCTGTTATATGATATGATTTAGTGATTTAGTGATTTCATAGAATATGGAATTGATAATAATCACCTAGCAACAAGTGAAATTTTTGTTTTTTTTTTCTCATCAAATTGATTGAAAATTGAACTGAATATTCTGGTTTATTTTGGATTTGAGTTCATCCACTGAAAAAAAATGATGATTTTATTATGAAATCACATTGATTATTGATAACTGGCCATCATTATTATTACAATCACACACACACATCTATATTTATCTTTCATCATTGTCACATTTGGTAAATATTTAAACGTCATTTTTTCGTTTTTGTGTTTGTCTGTGTGAATGATGTGTTGAAGATTCCAAATTGTAATTTTTTTTCTCTATTATTTAGATTCGTGATTATGTGTATTCTTTGAAAGTTCATGACATGATTATACAATACAATTGAATATTATTTGCTGTATGCAGTAATTTCAACTTAGAATGTAAGAATTTGATTAAAAATTGTATATTCGATTCGATTGTTTTTGATCATTTGGTTGAAAAAAAAGACGAACAAAACAAAAAGATCATTTTTTCCTGTTTTGTTTTGCATGTTCACAAACAAAAACAAAAAAAAAAGTTTTCTTTCTCTCTATTCATAAGAATAAAGCATTCGTCATTTATTATTGTGCAAGTATATTATGGTAATATTAATCAGTTACTTGCGAAGAAAAAAGATTAGAATTACTAGTAGTCAAAAAGTCATCATAATGGTTGGTAGTCATTTCTAACTAATTAGATTCGCATATTTTTTTTTATTTTTGTATTTAGCTTGCCTCAGCTTCTTCTTCTTCTTCTTATGTCGATTGATCAATTTGTAATATTAGAATGATACATTGTAATAACAAACACACACACACACAAAACACATTCGTTTTTTTTTTGGAGATGAAATCTTTGTTTTCCTATGTTTTTGTTTTTGGTTTTGGAAACTCATTTCGAAAACATGTTGTTGTTATGAGAATGGAAAAGAAAAATCTCTCTCTCTCTCTCTCTCTCATATTCATCTCGAATCTTCTTTTTGTCTTAATTCATCATTTCTTTATTCACATAGAAAAAATTGTTGCTGCTTCTGCTAGTGTTATCACATGATGAATAGAATTAAGGAAGTGAAGCCCACTTTCAACAGTATTTTTTTTTTTTACTGGGCTTTTTGAAAATCGAGTTTTTTCTTTCTTTCTTTTTTTTTGTTTTTGCAGTTGGAAAAAAACATATTATAACTCAGGCTAATGATAATGATGGTCGACTCGACTCGACACAGCAATTGCCACAATGATTTTTTTTTCATTTTCAGGCCTTTTTTTCTGACAGATTCAGAGATATTATCCACTGTTCTCAATTCATTCATTTTATTATTAAGCGGGTGAAAAAAAATCTCATTGTCTATCAATCTTATACATGAACTCGAAGGCATTCTATTTTTTTCCGTCTCTTTTCTAATTGTAATAATCATGTTTTTTATGGTTTCGACCGACAGACAAAAAAAAATTATTAGGAAAAAAAACCTAAAATTAACAGCTTTCATTCGTCTAGCTAACAAATTTCTTACATTTTTATCAACAACATTATAATTGATCAGAAAAAAAGGAAAAAAACCCGAAAATCAATGACCATTCAATAGACAAAACTGACCAAATGTGTCCAAATAAAGAAGAAAAAATAAGAAAATGTCAATTAAATTCATTAACTTTTTTTTTTTTTTTTCGACTTGCCTTCACATGTGTGATACAACTCTCACACACAAACATATAACTTTTGTTCGTTGAATGAATGTATATGACAAATTTGTCCACGGTACCCCACGAATTTGATAACCATGAACTCTTATTTATATTGATATTAACACACACACACACACATCTATATTACATATCGGAAACAAAAATGAAAACGAAATCATAAAAAAACCAAATGGCTAGTAAAATTCTTTAGCTTGAAACTACGATGATGAAATCGAATAGATTACACAATGGAAAGATTTGGATTCTTTTCTTTCTCTTTTTTATGACTTTTATATTTGAGTTTCTCTCTTTTTCTCTGTGTGTGTTTTTATTTCGATTGGTCCGATTTCTCGACACATCACATGTGAAATGAAAGTTCTATTTCAATGGCAACAAACAGAAAAAAATCGAAAAATTCGGGAAAAAAATTCTCATCATCATAATGAAAAGAAGTCGCCATCACCAAAGTATACATGGCCATCGCCAAACAATGAATGGAAATAAAATTCTATTTTCTTTGATAAATGACTTTTTTTCTTCTCTATAAACATATACACTGTATTCAGAAATGAAAAAAAAAATGAATGAGCAACGACAACAACCCCATCGGGTTTTTCTTTTTCTTTTTTTGGTTGTTGTTTCTGTTATTGTCGTCAGAATTGACTCAAATTTACCCAGACACCAACAAAGGCCAACCAAAGAATTCTCATCATCAGAATTTTTTTTCATTTTCTTTTTTTTTTTTTTTTGTCTTAACCAATAAGTCATGTCATAAATTTTTTTTTTTTTTTGATTTTGTTTTTGTTTTTGTGTCACATCAAATGAAATCTGCAAAGAAGAAAAATTCATAATTGTTTCGCACCTATTTTTATGAAAAAATCATAAATCTTTTGATTTTTATACAGAAAAATTTTTTCTATCCATGATATAGTTGGTTTTTTTTGTTGAGTTTTTATTGTTGTCTCTCACGTTTGAAATTGTTTGCTGGATCAAAAAAAAAAAAATTTTTGATCGTTTTGTTCAAACCAAATGTGTGTTTGTGTGTGTGTGTGTAGAACGAACAACATAGACCAAGTATTGAACCAAGTATTATTCTGGTTCATAAAATTTCTAGATTTCCATGTGTTGGTGCTATTTTTTTTCGTGTCATGTTGTAGATGATGATGATGATGATGATAAGTTTGCTTGAATGAATTTTCTTGTATGTATTATGTATGATTTGTGTATATATCTATTTTATGCATGTAATGGTGATGGTCGGATATTCCATACATCCATACACACAATGATGATGATGACAATAATAACATATTTTTTTGGCTTTCGATTTTTGTTTCTTAAAATCAAAAGCCAAAAATAAAATAAAAATAAAAAATAAAATGATTGAATGAACTCTCATCATTGCCATTTTTTTTGTGGATACAATATTTTATTCTTTTATCCTTATACCGGATGAATTCTCTAGGGTTTTTGTATTTACTATTCTGATACGTTTTTTTTTCTTAGCAATTCATTTTCCAATGTGTGGTAATTATGATTATAATGGTCATGATGATTTTATTATTTATTATTATTATTACAGTGACTAAATATGTCAACATTAGTCAACAACAACAGCAGCAGCAACAGACCAATGGAATAAATGGCCCATTTTGGACACCATCATCATCATCATCATCATCATTATCATCAGCAGCAACAAATCTTTCATGGTTGACAGCTATACCATCATCATCACAACAATGGCCATTGTATCGTGAACAATTCCAACAGCAACAGCATTCACAATCTAATACAATGTTTGGTCATCATCAACAACAGCAACAACAACCATTGAATCAAAATTATACAAAAAATGGTCATTTAATACTTATGTCAGAAAAAATCAATTTTTTAAAAGGTCAGTCGTTGCTTTTTGTTTCATTTCCATTTTTTTATTTTATTTTCTTCAAATTCAGTTTTACAAACTTGAACACAAATCATTTGCCTAGACATATTCTTGTTAGTAACCAAAAAAAAAAAAAACACTCCATTCTTTATACCAAACAAAAAATGAATGAATCAATGATTTATTGGTTACAATTCATCATCGGACCAGTTTTTTTCTCGTGGCTCTTTAAAAAAACCTTACTATCGCAAACATTCAGGCACACACACACACAGAGAGAGAGAGGATTCAATTTCTCCCTATGCATGGTTTTCTGTTTGTCGACATGTTTTTTATTCTGCATATTATTTGTGTTCATTCAAATGTTGGAGAAGGAAACGAAGAAAACTAAATAAGGAAAACATTGCCATTTAAATAAAAAAGGAAATTTTTTTTTACAAAAAAAAACATTTAACACAAGCACACTGAGTGAGAGAGAAACGCTTGAAATATATATATTATTGATTCAAAATACATAAATACATTGGTTACTGTATCGAGTGATTTTTATTTTTGACTACCATCAATTCTTTGTGTGCCTAACTTTTTTTTGAATCGCTTTTCCTTGAGGAATTTGAAAGAAATTTACCTGAAATAAAAATTTTTTTTTCATTCCATTTTACATTTTATTTTTTGATTTTTTGTTCACCCAAAACAACTGGAAGAGTGGCGAAAAAAAAAATTTCACTTGCTCGTGGTCGGTTTTTTTCATTTTCTTGTTTCTCTTTTTGGTGACAAAACCGGATTTTTTCTGACATAAATACTAATTCATTATTCCGCTCAGTGTTTTTTTCGAAAACCAAAAAAACCATTATCCACATAGTTGGTGGTTATATTGCACGTATTAGTCAATAATATTCATTCATCCGGATTTTTTGTTTCAGATAAACAACATTGGTGGATCGAACACCTCGAATATCATTTTATCGATCAATGAATTTTTATTTTTTATTTTATATTTCACTTTCTTTTTGGTTGGGTTTTTTTAATATACAGTTTTCTTTCCTGTATGTATGTAAAATGTCTTTGCATAAATAAGACGAGTGAAAGAAGAAGAAGCGAACGAAAAAAAAATTGCCTTGTATAGACCAATGATTGATTGTATGTAAAGCTTGTTCATTTTCTTTTTTTTTTTTTTTGAACGAAAATAAAATACCAAAATCTCATATCTCCATCACCTCCCCACAGAAAAAAATTTAACCTAACAGCATTGATGACAACAAAATTGAAGAAAATTTTCCTATTCTGACAAAAAAGCCGCTTTCACTTTGTTGTCAGTTGATGTAAATATCGACTAAATCCTCTTTTTCATTTCATATCCTGTATGCATGTGTGTGTGTGTGTGTGAAAGAGAGTCAGAATTTATCCACAACTTTTTTAAGGAATGGAATATATAAGCAATATTAAAAAAACAGAACAAAACAAAACAAAGCTTCAACCTTAACAATTGTAGTTCAGCATTTTTTGTGTGTGTGTGTGTGTTTGACAGAAGTTACAACAAACACACAACCAATGAGCCTTAACAGATCGAAAAAAACAAACCGAAAAAAATATGGTCCAAGAGATTTTGAATTTTTTTTTTTTTTTTTTTGAAAACAATTCACGACGATCGGGTTAAGTTTAACCACTTATTGTTATTGGGCTCCACTTTCTTTGTCAACAGCTGCCATCATTTAACTTTGTGGTTGTGAATCATGTTTTTTTTTCGTTTGAATCGGATCTTGGCTTTTGGATTTTTTCCTGTTTTTGTTTTTTTTTGTTTTTGTTTTTTTAAAAAATGCAAGTATAAACAAACAGCTAAAAAAATTGAAATCTAATGATAACAAATGTTTGTTGAATACACAAACACACACGACATGAATTTTGAAAATGATACAAATTCATTCATTCAAATACATGCATCTGTTATATTTATAAGGACATTGAACATCGTTGTCCTTGACGTTTTGTGACGCTTAAATGTTTTGTCATTTACCAAGAAAAAAAGAGTTATTTCACATGGAATTCTTTTTTTTTGATCGGATTTTTGAATCGAAATTTTTTTGCTTCCTTTGTTGCTGTCGTTGTTGTTGACTGATTTTTTTCTGATAATTCTGACACAACAACTTTCAATAGGCCACCGAAAAGCTTAGAGTTTTTTTTGGAACAGAATGAATTCTTTGGATTCTTTTTCGCATTTTTCAATTTTTTCAAATGAATGCCTTTGAATACTATGATGAATAATGTATTGTACCAAGTTTTCAATGGAAAAGTTTGTGAATTTAGATAATCGGTTGACTATTTTTTCCTATTAATCCAATTGATTTTAATTTTTCAATTGAAATCATCATCGTAATTGTCGACAAAGAGAGAGAGAGAGAAAAAAAGAAAAAACCAATACCAAATCAGTCAAATAAATCATTGTATGTTCAAATCTTATTATTACTACTTGAGTAGGCTAATCCTCGAAATAAGAAGATAACAATAATAAAGATTTTCTTTTAAACTTGAAATTAATTTTCTTCGTTCAATCATCATCGTAATCATTTTTCTGTTGTTGTTGTTTTGCCAAAAACAAAATGAAACGTTTTCTTTCTTTCCATTTCTTTTTCTGTGTGCGTGTGGCGTGTGGATTAAATGATTTGAACAACGAAAAAAAAGAAAAATAAAAACGTGATGACCATTTCAATGTTTTTTTTTTTTGTTCAATAAAAACAGCAATACATGATCATCATCATTAAAATTTACTATATGGTAGTTTGACATTTGACACTTTTTTTTACTTTTAAACTTTGAATTTGAAACAAACACGTCATTATCATATGATTTTTTTCTCCATTTATTTCATACAAAATATAAAAATTGCCTGCTTTCATGTTTGTCTGAAATTTGATCCTGTGAACAAGAAGAAAATGAAAAGAAATTAAATTAAACTGGATTAAAAAAAACTCCCGGTCGACTTTTTTTCAATCTTTTTTTTTTTGTTGAATGATTCAAATTTTGATGATGATGATGATGATGATGACTCGTTTCTTCTTTTGCTTCTAGTATAGAATTGCCCATTTAAAAAAATTAGCTCAAACTTTTCCATTTGATTTGATTTGGTCGTCATCATTGTCGAAAGCAATTTAATACATACATACTACATACATCCATCACTTGATTTTCATCAACAACAATCCATCCAGATTTTGTTTCTATTTTGTTTAGCCTTTTGACTTATGTGACTCGGATTTCATTGTTGTTGTTTTTGTTGTTCATCACGTCATATATGATGATGATGAGGGATTTGAATTCAATTTATTTTTGCCTTTTCATCATCGTTATTATTGTGTCATAGTTGTTGTTCATGTTCATGTTTATCATCGTCATCATCATTATCATTATTGTATAATTGAACTATTCTCGTTTTTTTTTTGTTTGTTTGTTTGTTTGTTGTTTGTACAGAAATAACTTTACTTAATCCTTGTCTCTTGTTGATTGAATGATTTCTCATCAGAATTTGGTTTTTTGATATTTCATCACACACACATACACACCAACACACACAAACATAGCGCTTAGCAAATGTGCATCTTTCGTTATCGTTTTCGTAGAATTATTTTCAATTTTTTTCGGTTCAACTTTTTATTGAAATTGTGTGTGTGTGTGTGAGAGAGAGAGAGAAAAGTGCAAAATTTATTTTGATTATGATGGGGCATCAACACTCAATTGAATCTAGTTTTTTTTTCTATTCACTCATTCAATCACTGCATGTGAACTTTTGAACAAAACAAGGAAGAATTCTTTTCTGCTACAAAAAAAATCGAGTGAATTCTGTGTGTGTGTGTGTTGTGGGCATTGCACTCATAGAGAATATGTTTAATTTATTTATTGATCAGAAACTAAATTGGATGATGATGTAATCAATGTTAGTGGCTATGGGTTATAATAACAGAACAGAAAAAAATGAAAATAAAAAAATGAATTTTTGATGCTTCCACTCACTCATTCATTTTCTTTGAACTCTTTCGATGAAATTGGAAATTTTTTTTCTCCGTGTGTTCTTGAGTCAAGTCACAGAATATTGTATTTGGTGTTTGATTCTGGAAAAAATTGAAATTTTTTTCTCTTTTTTAGTTCACTTTTCAATCGTTTTTTATTTTTGTTTTGTTTTTGTTTTCTCTATCTCACTTGAAATCAAAACTTTTCAAACTCTCAAACCGATCATCATCATTGGAATTATTTTTTTTATTGGAACTTTTTTTTGAACTTTACTCATTGCTGTATGCGTGTGCCTGGTGTTTTTTTTTCGCCACTAGATTCAAAGATTTTTCTTTTCTTTTTTTTGGTTTGCTTTTGGTGAAATTTGGATTTTACATTTCCAACGGGTTGAGGCTGTGAATTTTGGATCAAATTTCATTAATGTTTTTCACAATGAAAATGTCTTCCAGGCAAAATATAAAAATAATGGATCCGAGAATATATATCTCTGGCCCAGAATGGAATGAAAAATATTTTCAAATTGAATTAATTGAATCGCATGATGCATTTTTCACTGAATTTATGTTTCATTCATTCATTATATTCCGGAATGAAAAAAAAATTCGCGAAAATTTATCATTTGTTGTTTTTGTTGTTATTGTTTATTTTTGATTCATAATTTTTATTTCATAAATACGCAGACACATTGACTCTTGGGAATTTGTTTCAGCATTGAATTTGTTGTTGCTGTTTTTTTTGCACACATGACTTTCCCATTTAACAATGATGATGATAATGATAATGATAATGATTGAAGCATATTGATGTGCCAATGACTACTCTGAATTTTGTTCATTTTAGCCCACTAAAATTTATGAAATGAAAAAACCAGACGTTTTTCCATTTAAGAATAAAATAAAATCATCATAGTCGTTGATTGACGTCGTTTGTTGTTCATTTTATTCTAATGACGACGACGATTATGATGATGATGATTAGAGGGATTGTATACGATGTATGTGATTAACGAACCGATTCGAAATTTATTTTTTTTCAGGGAAAATTGAATTTAGTTTCCGGTCTAAGATTTAATAATTTTTCTTGTTTTTTGTTTTCATGTTTTTTTTATATTACGATTTATTTGGATACTTGATACCTGGGAAAAAATGATTCTGTTTTATTTTCGGTCTATTCATTCATTCATTCATTTTTTTGAAATTTCAAAATTGCCTCTCTCTCTCTGTGTGTGTGTGTGTTTATATAACAAGGCAATTGTCCATTTTTTTGTTTTGTTTGATTATTCTGTCTATGTGTTCCGAGGATAAATTTACGGATGGAACAAACGAAACGGGGAGAGGGAAAATTTTTTGGAAAAAAAATTCCAACAAATAGGATCAAGTTTAGTTTTTTTCTCTTTTTGTTGTTGTTTATTTGTTCAACTTTTCAATTTCAATATTTTTCCCGTTTGAATTTGAAATTTAACAGCCAACATTTCATTTTATTCATTCATTCATTTCACACACACATTCCATTTTATAACAAAAAAAAAATTCAACAATCCGATAGAAGAACCAATTTTCACATACACAGAGTGGACAACGCATACACACGGCGTACATAATGATTATCATCATTATAATAATTGAATTCAACAACAACAACAACAACAGCAGAAAAAAACGAGCGAAAATAAATTCTTTTAATATTCAATGAATGAATGGTTAGATGGATGGTTGGACGAATGGATAGTGCCCACCAATATATTTATATTAACCAATGATGATTGCCAAAAATAGCCCAACATATATGACATATGGCGCCATTATATAATACCCATTCGTTTTTTCTCTCTTTTTCTTGGTGAAGAAAAAAATCTAAAAAATGAGACACACTGAGTTTTTGAGTATCGACTTTATTGATAAAATTTTTTCTTTTTTTTTGAAAATACAGTCAGCTTTCTACTTACGAACAATTGCATTCCAAAAGAATGTTTTTAAGTCGAATTTTTCCAACACTTTAATGTGTTGAAAACGCTTCCATTCAAAAATCTCATTTGTTTTTTTCCATTTTATTTTTTTTTTTGTTTGAGAATTTAAATTTAGATGGTTATTTCATCATCATCATTTTTACACACACACACATACGCACATACTGTTCAATAGAATTCATTTAACACCTACACACAAATCGAAATAGAGAATAAACTTTTATTTCAAAATTCTATGTAGGTGAAATTCGAAAGAAAAAACAAAAACAAAAATTCTTAAAATCAAGAAATTTTTTTTGATTATTAAATTTCTGTGGTTAGGATTACTTTACTCACTCAATGAATCACATTTTTATTTATTTATAATAATAACGGAAATATTCATGTTGACAAACCCAGCCGGAAAAAAAACAAAAACAAATAAAAAGAATTTGAAATCTATTTTTGGTAGTAACAATGAAAAATGAAAAACTAATCGCTAAAAACCAAAAGAACCGAATCAATTCTGTGCAATCTCATTTGTTTTTTTTTCGATGCCGATGCAAAAAAAAACGCAAATTCCTGCTAAAAATCCATGAAGTGAATTCCGGGCTTACTCACACACACACACACAAGATTTGCTTAGGCAATATTTATTCATTTCAATTGAAAATTGATTCTCATCATTAAATATCAATTAATCAAATCATTTGTTTTGTGCATCAGAAATAAATTAATATATATTTGGGTTGGCAGCAATTTTTTGTTTTCTCTTTCCAACCAGATGACAGATTTTCCACTATAAATTTTGTTTGTCTGCTGAGAGGAAAAAACATTAATTTTTTTTCTTGCCAATTTTCCCATCAATAGATGGATGATGATGATGATGATAATGATGAGTCCAGATGTTCACACCAAAAAAAAAAGTAAATTGGTAAAAAATTAAATATTAATTTTAATTAATCAAATTATCATCAAATGCTGCATAATAATTTGCATTGAAATCGCCCGACTTTTTCTCTGCAATGTTGAAATAATTTTCACATCATTTTTTTCCAATTCACACACACACATGCACACACACCTACATGCATGATCAATCCTTTCTGTTTCTTTCTTTTTGCACATTATCATCATCAACAACGACAATGTTACAAAGTTTTATTCAATCAAAACATGAATGTAACACATTCTTTCGAAGAATTTTATAGAGACAAAAATGCCTATATCATGAAAATGATGATAATTTTGTTTGCCAGATTCAGAACTATTTTGCCAAAAAAAAATTCTTCAAAATGATTTTTGCTTTTCCTATTTGTTCAGCTATAATAATAATAAACTTTATTATGGCTACAAATTGGAATCTATTTTTCTTTTTCTAGTGAAATATACTTCACTCATTTGTTCATTCCAATTGACTTTTCTTTCTGTTTAATTTGTTCACACATTTTCCATTGAAATTGATTTTTACTTCAACGTTGCTGTTGTTGTTGTTGTTGTTATACATAAATTCTTTAACTTTATCATTATCAATCACTTAGTACGTGTGTGTGTATTGGATAATGAATATTGTAATTAGAATGTTTGTGCGTTTGGGGATGCCATCATCAAATCCGTTTTCGTTTTTTTTTGTTTTTTTTCAGCAATAAATTTTTTTTTACTTCAACAATGATTGTTACTATATGAGTCATTCACACATTGCAAAAAAGCAAAGTTTGTTTATTGATTTCATAACATTCATTGGTTTTGTTTGTTGTTTGGTTCGATATGATGATGATAATACATGAATATCGAAAATCAAATAAAGTTATGATTATGATGATGGATAGAAACAAAAATAAAAGAAAAAAAAACTTTATCAATCAAACAAAATAGAATAGTTTTGTATTTCAATTTTGATTCTGAGTTTGATTGATATTGATGGATGAGTCAGTGTTGATGTGTGAATATAATACAAAAAAAACACTTGAAAATATTCCCATTAGAATATTCTCTCCCACTACAAACTTTGTTGATAACAAATTATTCTTATATGTGCACAAAGAAGGTATTTGTTTATTCAACAACCAGAATCGATATTAAAAATGGTATATACACGTGAACATATTTAAAATTCAAACATGAATAATTGATATAATTACGTCTTGCATTTACTCCTTTTGGTACGAAATTGAAAAGTTGACAAAATTTATTCATTCATTGAAATTCTATGGATGAATTCATTGATTTCAAATATATTTCCGTTGCTTATTTTGTATGCATAAATGATGTTATTGCGAAAAAAAAGTAAAAACAAAAAAAGAAAGATTTTTTTTATTGTTCACATGCACACTTTTAAGTCAATCTTTTTCTTTTTTTTTCTTTGACTGACTCAAATGTAAAATGTGAAAGAAGAAACAAAAACGATTAAGTTTGTTGTATCATCAATGTATTTGCATTCGTTCAATGTTTAAATCTTTAGTTGTTGTTGGCAGGAAATGTCATCTTCACTGTAATGCATTTTTTTTTTTGGTTGTGTTTTCGTTTCACTTTCATCGTCGTTAATGAATCTTATATATATTGCACACCATCATTGTTCTTTTAATTCAATCCATTTAGGCGAAAAAAAATATAAAATAAAAAAAAAATTGTCACCCATTAATTGGCTGACAATTTTTTTTCCACACTACTGTTGTCGTCATCTTAGTCTTTGTAGCAAAAATATTAGAGCATCAATTGAAAAAAAATTCCAAACATATTCAGAATGAAAAAAAAACAATATTCTGAAAGAAAAGAAAAGAAAATTCACACGCAAAAGAACATCAACGCATCACATGCGGTAGTAGGTCACAAAAGCAAAACGTTTTGTTCTCTGTTGAATGTTGATAAAATTTTATAATTCTTTACCAAAAAAAAACTCTCCCATATGAATAACAATGAAAACAAAAATAAATTTGCAATCAAATTCTTTGCCCGAAAAACGAAAAGAATTGTTTTTATTTTCGAGTTTATTTTTAAAACACATTTTGTCATTCAAACAAATCAGTGTGTGTGTGTGTGTGTGTGTGCGTTTTATTCGGCTCTAGTCAGTAGTAGTTAAATTCCCTTGACACAAGAATAGAATTCTTTGCTGCTGTTGTTATTTGTCTATAGGACAACACAACAACTACAATTTTAAATGGATGAATGGATTCAGGTTCGGATTCGGATTCAAATTCAAATTCAAATTCAGTTGTTTTTTTGAAATTTATGCAATGCAGGCCATCACTATCAACACATGATGATGATCATTCAAAAATAAATCATTTACATTTTTTTCATAAAAAAACAATTTATTTTCATGCTTGTTTTCGTTTTGTTTTTGAAACGACAGAAAAAAAATAATCGGACTTTAGTTTGACGCACATTACTATTAATAATAAAAATAACTCAATGCAATTAATTTGAAAAAATCATTTCATGGGTCAAAAAAACAATGTATTGAGATTGACATTTAAATTAAATCAATATTCAATCAACCAAGATGAGAAAAACAAAAAACAAAACCCATGACGCTTGATGTTCATCAAAAATCAGAAAGACGTCCTGTTGTTATGTTGAAATCACCAAAAGACATGAGAAAAATTCAAGCATGAAAAAAAATTGAAGAAAATGTTCGTGTTTGTCTTATGTTTAGAAGATTGGATTTTTCCATCTCACATGACAGAATTTAATTTCCATATTTGAAATGTAAAAATGAAATGGATTTTGTTTTTTTCCACCCAGATGTAATTGTTTTCTTTTGAAATTGATTCTATTTTAACAACATCTATCTATTTTCAAATCAGGTGATCAACAATCTTCATCTATTAACAACAACAATGGAAATAATAATAATAACAAGTCACCATCGATATCGCCAATTAGACCAATCTATGTGTTGGCAATAGAAGAAGAAGAAGATGAAAGACAGATGCCTAAATCATTATTAAATCTATCAATCAGTGCTGATCATAATCATTATCACAATAAATCAACACACGAACATCAAACCAATCCATTGAATGGTATACAAGTGGATTATATACTTGATACAACGAAAATTGATGATTATGCTCAAATTTTAAAATATTTTGCCTTGAATCGTACAACTGGTGAACTTTTTCTCATCAATCCATTGGATCGTGATCCACCAAATGGTGAGAAAAATTAATGTTTTTATTTTACATAACTAATGAGTTGTTTTTATTTTTATTGCTGGTTATTGAAGGTCGATCACGATGGCGATTCTCTATACAAGCACGTAATCGTCAAACACAAATGATTCTAGCAATGGCCGATGTAGCAATCACTGTACGAGATATTAATGATAATAAACCATTATTTGAACAAAAATTATATCGTACAACATTGATGGAAAATGGACCAGCTGGACAGATTCTTTCAAAATTGCACGCCATCGATTTCGATGAAGCTGATTTAGCTGATAATGGGAAAATTCTTTATTCATTAATTAAATCACCTGTAAGCGATTCAAAATGGACAACCGACCTATTCCATATTGATCCACATAATGGTGTATTGACCGTTTTGGGTTGTTGTTTTGATCGCGAACGAAGATCCGAATATCGGTTAATTGCACGTGCTACAGATGCAGGTGGCCTATGGGATGAGACGAAAATTGTTGTCACAATTGGTGACCTGAATGATAATCCGCCAAAATTTCTGAATCCATCACGAGCTTTACGATTAAATGATGAAATGAATTTGCATAATCATAATCAACATGAATCATCATCATTCGAATATGAAGATGAAAATATATTCACATTTTACATATCGGATGAAGATCTACCTGAAAGTAATCATCATCATTATGAGATTATCAATTCAACCGAATGTCCATTATTTAAACGTTTCTATATTGGTAAGCAAACACGATCAACCGATTTTCATAAATTTTCAATAATTTTTGCATATTTATTACTTTTACTTACTTACCACATACACATAGATTCATTCATTTCCTTGTTCCACAATGTGAGAAAAAATCAATAATTGTCAATGTTTATAATTCCACTCTGAATTTGAGAACAAAAATAATATATTCTTATCGCTTGCTACCACAATCAATCAAGGCTTGATATTATGGCAGCAGTAGCAGAAATAGCGAAACGAAACGACCACAAATCCCACTAACCAACAAACCATTATTATATGACATTGGTGGCAAAAATGATGATGATGAGGAAAAAAAGAAAATTTAATTTTAAAAAAATTCTGATCTACTCTTTTTCTCCTTTTAGTTATTTAGTAACTGCTGAATGTGGGTGTTATCATCATCAGTTTCTTGTTTCTCAGAAAATCGGGTATCACCCCCGATTTCAACATTCACTTTCAGCTGTTTTAGTTTTTTCAAAGAGATTTTGAGAACGAATCATTAAGTAAACTTCTTCAAAGAACAACTACATGTGTTGAACGGGTTTATCCTAATTTCGCGAAATTAAATAAGACACAATTGGTTCGAAATCATTTCATGGCTGCATTAGATTTGAAGTTACGTGAAAAAATTATAGCGTTATCTGAGCTCCCAAGAACAGCAAATGATGTTCTGGCTAAAGCTGAAGCTTTTGAAAATGCATCAAAATGTCATTATAATCGTAACGAAAATTCATTTCAAAAACCATCGTCATCGTCTAATAATAACAATAATAAAAATAACAACAAGAAATCAAATAAATTTTGTGAGTATTGTAAAAAAACGAATCATAATACTGATGCTTGTTATTCAAAAAAGAAGAAAGAAAAAAAAGATAAAGCTGAAAAAGAAAAAGTTTCAAGTATCGAATCAGATCGAATTCTTTATAAGATGGTCGAACCGAAGGTCAAACTAAAATATTGCGATCTACAGATACAATTCATATGATTATCAACAATTTAATAATTTGATCATTTCTACTGATTCTGATAAAACGAAGATATTGAACAATGTGTTATCAAAATGATTTCTTCACATCATCATCAGTTAATAGTTCACATAGTGATAAAATGTCGAAAAATTATTGAAAAAATATAATGATTTATTCAACAAACTTGGTGAAACATCAGTTATCAAACATAAAATTATTTTACGTGATAATGTTCATCCAATTCAAACTCGTCAATATAGAATTCCGGAAGCTATCGAAAAAGATGTTGATATTGCTGTTAAAAAGCTAATTGATGAAAACATAATAGAAGAGTCTGAATCCGAATGGAAAAATCCGATAGTTCCAATACGAAAACCTGATGGTACTATCCGATTAGCAATTGATTTCCGTGAATTAAATAAAATTACCAAAAAAGATTCTTTTCCAGTACCTAGAAGTGACCGAATAATTCGTGATCTCCGTGGTTCAAAGTGTCATTATGATGATGATGATTTAACTCAACTATATCACCAGACTCATAGTGTTTCGATTTTTAGAATAATGATTATGACACACACACACACACACACTATGACAATAGATCCAGTTGTATCCCAGCTTTTCATTCATTCATCCGACCGATCCATTCGTAAATTGATTTTTTTTCATCATCAGGAAAATAAAAATTAACCAGTATTCAAGGATAAAAAATGAAATGAATAAAAAAGAAAATTGGAAAAAAATTGATGAACCATTCCAGTAATCCAAGAGAGAAAAAACGGCCACTTTATCCATGATTATTGTTGAATAACACAATAAATACAGAATTTCTGTTTTCAAATAGTGCAAACTTTTGAGAGAAAAAAAATTTAATTTTAAATTCAAATTTGTTCAAATCTCTTTGGAATTGAATAATCACATTTTTTCCATTTTCATTTTCTTTTTTGCAGTTGTCAATGTAGACGGAAGTGGAACATTGTATGGAACTCGTCGTAATGAATCTGAACTTCGACAATATATTCGCATGTCATCGGATGATCATCAATCGATGAATAAATCTAATGTCAATGGAGCTAATCAAACATTGGCCATGACTAATCAATTGGTCACAACAGAGACTATTTGCTATTTGGATGTAGTTGTACGTGATTCTATTCGTGATGATCAGGTTACATCATCATCATCATCATCCGGATTGATATATGAAGATCGAACAACATTAACGTTAGTCTATCAATTCAATTGGGATATTGGTGGCAAAAAGAAAATGTCTAATAAAAATAATGGAACGAATTCCGGAATGAACAGTAATGTTAATAGTAGTAATGCTAATGCAGTCATTGCACTCGATCATTTTGCTGCTGCTGGACCAAAGGCTTCCGATCTTTCAACAAAAATCAATAATCGTAAATCTATTCAATCATCTAATGATGTCAACAGCGGTGCTGCTGGTGGTGGTCATCATAGTTCTTGTTCATTGGTAAATGGTGCCTTATGTTCAAATCCATCATCATCATCATTTGATGATGAACTAGCAAATGAGCCTCATCATTCATTCTCATCAAATGTTTCAACAAATAATAACGGCATACTATTCATCACTGCAACTGGCTCATTTACTGCCTTTAAACAATGGCTAAAATGGGCTACAAACAGTAAACAGTTTCTAATCTATGCTTCAATCATAATTTTCTCCAATCTTATAAGTAAGTGTATACTATTCAATTTGTGGATTTGTGATTTTTCTCATTTTTTATTCATTCAATTTTTAGTCTTACTCATTATTACGACATTTTGGCTTATAAGATTGAACGCTCGCAGGGCTGACAATAACGAAAGTCAATTAACCATCAATTTGGCTGATGATTATTTATCAGCAACAACAACAATAGCAACAACAACAACGACAACCATACCGACAGCCATAACAACCAATAATGCAACCTATTATCAAATCCCGATGATTGAACAGCAATCACAACAACAACCATTTCCTCTTTTCGATCCATCACATTCGACAAATTTTTCGACAAAACCACCAGAACAAAATCTTATGAACATAATGAATTCAAATACAAACATTCTATTCATAAATAATGAAGAAGAAGAAGAAGACAAAAATGGTCTATCCTATTTGAACATTTTGAAACCTTCCTCTTCCATTCCGACGACAACGACAACGACATCAACAACAACACAGCATCATGCACAAATCATTGACAGTCAACAATTATCATCATTACCAAGCTATATCAATTGTTGATGACCATTAATCAACAACAATGTTATTGTTTTTTTTTTAATTATACAAAGCAACACTATCTGTATTGATTTATTTGAGAGATTTGATGAATTTTTTGTTCTTTTTTGTATTTTAAATCATTCATCTGATATTGTGATTTGTTGAATGAATATTTGAACAACAATAAAAATTTGAGCATATAATATATGAACTATTTCGGTTACCGATGGTATGTCGTTTGAAATTTACAACAAATGAAAATGTCAAAAAAGGTGATTGCTATAAACGTATAACGTATATGTAAGATAGAATCATTACACAATTTAATTAAATTGACAGATGCTTTATTTTATTCATCATTTATTTGTTTTAAAGAATCAGTTACAAAAATCAATTAAAATAGATTCGATCTTTTTCCCAAAGATCAATCAAAATCTTTTCAATGTCAACTTGATCGTTGGCAAAATGTTCTTGGAATGAATTGATCATTCCTTCATGGCTGGATTCGAATGATTTCAAAGCAACATTATCCGAATCAATTTGTGTGGATGATGCGACCAATAAACGTCGAGGCTTCTTCCTATCGATAGCAATGTCACGGAATCGTAAATAAGGATATTCTAACTGATTGTTAACGGCTGAATAATAATCAAACATTTTTTGCGCACTCTCATTATCGCCAGTGGATCTATAAATCTGAAGTTTTAAAAGAAAATCACCAATAGCTTTACGGCCTTTTGTTTCAATCAATTGATGATCATTTGTAAACTTGATTAATAAATCGGGCTTTCCATCGATAGGTGATTGTTCGATTTGATCGATGGACACAATGTCTTTGGCCGATTCCAACAATACACGTGTAATCACGTAACGTGCTTGTGAATGTGCTTGAAGCCATTTTTTTACAGTCGGATTGTACATTTTAAGACTTTCGATACCTTTCTGTACCATTTCAAGCCATGCAGCGTAAACGACTTTACGTGCCTCTTGTTGATCAACAAAGCCAAATATTGAAAGTACGTCAACATTTAATGATAGATAAAGGCCAACACATTCAGCACGACATTCTTCATAAGCCGAACTAAATGAACCAAATTTGCCATCATACGATTCACCAGCTTGATACCATTTATCCACCGGTTTTCCAGTCAATGGATTGATGGCTTTGTTTGGATCGAAATTCAATTTACCATCTTTGTCAGCTTGCAACAATTTTCCACTACCATGTCCCAGTAATTCATGAAGTCCGACAATCACTTCGAATGACGGTATTCGATATTTCTCCAATAATTCGGCATCATTTTCGCTTAAAAAGTTTGGTTTACTCGCTTTTAATGAAGCAGTAATCACATTACCCAATGATACATTTTTAAAGCCTTCATTTTGTTTGATTTCACTGTAATTAGGAATGTTAATGCCTGCTGGTACTCCAGAACCGGCAAACGTTAGTATATCAAGCGATGTGAAATCCGGTTGAAGAAATTTATCCATTTCAAATTCTTTAGGCCATGGTAACAATGGTAAAAATTTAGAAGCATTATCCACTAATGAAGTGAATTTTTTTGACATCTCTTTGTTAACCATAGCCACAAAACCTTCAAATTCGGCGCGTTGACCAGCTGGATCACGATATGTTTCAATGAAACCAATATATGTTTCGACGATAGGTTTTTTATCTTTTATCCAATATCGTGAACCTTGTTTATGTGAATCTAAACAACCGGAACGAAAATGTCGTATATATTCTTCAATCATCATACGTTCAGTTTGATTTTGTGCAGAATCACAAGCTTTTTGAAGATTTTTGTTCATCAACGATAAAATGGTTGAATAATCACCACGTTCAAGTCGAAAACTATGTCCGTCCATTTCCAACGATTTGATTTTATCAATATAATCACGCTCTTCAGGATCAGAAGTGGATCGTATCGATGCAAATCGTATAACATATTCACCAGTTTTAGGATCTTTAAAAGCTCTTGTATTATAAGCTTCGATATCGTTCATTGTTAAGAATTTTTTAACAATTTTTTCATCATTTTCTGTCATATTTTTTGACCAATAAGTTGTTGTACCATTTGGTTCAAATCCTAATGTCAATTCATTGTGATTCAATGAGAATATAGCGTCACCCAAATTGTTCCAAATATTATCAATAAATTTCGAATCTTTTTGATAAGCTTGAGAAGATTTGATCAAACGTTCAAACTTGTTTTTTGATAAATTCGGTACGAATTTCGAATCACCAAAGCTACGATAATTGCCCATATTTGAATAAAAGGCAGCAACATATACTAAAAATGATCGCCATTCTTCTTCATTAAATTCACATTTATCCATAGCAACCGATTTTAGTTGATCAATAGGTTCCGTAGCGAAAATCCGTTGAAACAAAGCAAAAATCAATGGCGATTCAGGTGATGTTTGAAACAAAACAGCCAATGATCCGAACCACGATGCTTTGGAAAGATAATGAGCATATTTTTTCTCAGAAGCTGTCAAAGCTTCGAATGCACTAGTAGCCTCCAGCAATACAACTTTGAAAAATGGAAACAAAAATAAATGAATATTTTCATTTAATTATCGTAGACTAGATTTACCTGGTGTATCATTGGTATAAATGTATTCCGATGATTTAGATGTCGAAGACATTGTCAATGATGATGAATGCAATAATCGTTGAATTACAATTTGACAGAACAAATTTTCGGGCCTTTTATAGTGAAATTTATGGTTATTGTTGACAGAGGTAAATGACAAAAATTGCAACGGAAACGGACGATTTTTATTCGGTTCAAATAATCCCAAAGTTTGTTTACCGGAAAATTTTCCAACAATTTTATAACGATTAACGAATGTCTCAGTGACTTTATGAATCAATAACGAGGATTTCGAAAACTAATGTAAAAAAATGAATAAAAATGCAAATATAAATTAATTGATTGATTGATTGATTGCATAAAACGACATAAAAGGCTAAAAAACAATATATAGATTAGATTTGTTTTTTGGGTGTGAACTTTTTTCAGATAATTGTATGCCAATACTGGCTTGTTGATAAACAATGATAATCATAAATGTTATTTAACATTAATATTGATTAGACTTTGGCCATAGTAGCCATAAAATGTTTTGAGCAATTTACATGGATCAACCGATCATAAATTTTTACCGAGTTATTAAAAACTATTTTACCTTTATTTAGGCTTTTATGGTTAGTCTTTTTTGAACAATTTACAAACCATTTATGAAGATAATAAACTTTCGAATGATGATAAATTGAAGATGAAAAAAAACCAAATAAAATGACAATAAAAAATAACACGTGTTCGTGTTACAAACATCGATACTATCGATATTTGCATTTAAATTTAAATTCATTATAATAAAATTGTTTTAAATTCTTTAGATTTATTTATTTATTATAAAAATTGAACTCATATTTTGACTATAGCGATGATTTTGTTGTGATGATAGGTCGGGCGCTATGTAGGCCATATGTTAGACCTATGTCTGGTTCGTGCCAGATTGCCACGTAATCGGCAAATTTACTACCATCAAAACAAAGTGAACGAAACTTAAAATTCATTGCTATCGCAATGTGTTTATCATCGTTGTGAATTATTGGTCGACAATCTACAATCATGTTTATCAATTGACAATGACCAGGAGGAATCAGATCATCTGTTTGTAATGATCCACGGCTTGTTGTCCACATTATTGAGTCTGGATGTCTGGACATTTGTAAAGATTGAATTTGATCTGATGACCTGCAATCGTTAACAAATTTTGGCGTACTTGATATGGGACGACCTTCGAGTACATGATGATGATCATCATTTCTAAAACTTTCATCCTGATCAATCTTCGATGATGATTTGTGTTTCCATTTTGCTTTCATCGAAACTTGTATCCAATGTCGTTTATGTCTATTCTCGACCAATGATATTAAACCAGGAAATTTTCTATTCAAATGATATGTAATAATCGATCCTTTCTGTTTATTTTTGAATAAAAAAATGGCTGAATATTACGATTCAATTTCATTCAATTTTCCAATTTCAAACCTCATATTGTTGACCACAAGCTAAAACATAATGAATGATTAGATCACCTCGAAGGGCCGAATTTGGTTCAAACTTTTTGAATCGTAGTGGACGTGATGAATAAATACGTAATACATTCGAATCGATTGTTAAATTTTCATTAAATGCAAATGCAGCTAATAAATAGCGACGACCTTGTTGTAGTTCAGCTTCACATGTGATTGATGAATGCATGGTTCCAACGGAAGAGGAAATAAATTTACCAAGCACATGGCTAGTTTGATTAGCTCGCAATTCATATATGAGAATGAGTATGGTTGGTGAATCATTTGATTCCGATTTTGCATCATGATAAAATGTGCACATCACTTGTGAATGGGTAAAGATTTGATCGGTTTCCACACTAATCTCGAATACATGACCAATATGATCTTCGAACGATAAGGCGAAATCACAATCAAATGAATATTGATACCAATGAGGTAATATTTTACAAACGACTAAATCTTGAAAATATCGACATAGATCAATGAACGATATCCAAAATATACCATCCTCTGAACAACCTTTTGTTTTCAATCTAATTGACAATTTTTTCGTCCATAAAGTGCTTTGTTCGCACCAATCACCTTTCCATACAATGGTTCCCCATGGATTTCGTAATCTAATTGCAAATTTTAAAAAATCATTCTTATGATGCAGGTTTAATGATCCCACTAACTTGACTAAACGTAGATTTCCTATGGATACAGTATCGAGAATTGAATAGGCATGATTCAGCAGTAAACCTAATTGTTTATATTGTTCTTGTTGCTGCTCATTTCGATTACGGCCACATGAAACTGTCATCAAGAATCCTGCCGAATTAAAACTGAGTATTTTGATCCAAAATTCCATAATCGACAATGAATCTGCTTCGTTCAACGCTGGATAATCAATAATTGATGGTAATGAAAATATTTGACAAGGATAACCGGTCAATGATGTTAAACCTAGACTAGTATGGCCACCAATTAGCCGATGATATCCACCCAATAGTTTAGCCATTGCTTTTTCAATTAACGGAACAAATAATTGATTTCGTTTTGATTCCGAAAAAACTAAATGACCATTATGATCACAAGGTAGCCAATCATCAACAATCACTGTATGCCATCGACCATTTCGAAATAATCGTATATGACAATGAGCATTTTGATCAAATTCCATTGAACTTGTACGGATTACATTTGAAAGTAAATTTTCATGTTGAACAACTAAAGCCAATGCTGAGAGAAGCCAACAATTACCCAAAAGACCTTGAATAATGTCCGTAGGTTTAGGATCGGATTGAATCAAAATCCATTTACTGTTTCCAGCACCGTTATTGAGACGACGCCATTTGCCGATATGCTTGGACAGCAATTCTTTATCCACGATTGATAAGATTTTTGAATCATCATTTTGAGAATTATCTACAGATGTTCTACGAATGTAAAATGATTACTAAAAATTATTTTTCAAAAATAAAATTTTCAAACCTTTTTATCACATTCGATAATCGCTTTGCATCAACGTTTCGATTATTGTTCAAATGATGATCCAAGCCGCTTGCGGCCATCGAAACAATTCAACAGATTAATTCTTTCGATTGTCGAAATTCTTGGATTTATTTTTAGTAGCCTGATATATAGTGATGATGACAACCAAACACATACACACACATTAATCGATTGTTGATATAATCACTACGACGAGTAAACCGATAAATATTTGTCGTCGTTAGCAAAAGCATAGTTTTTAAAAATTGTTTTTTTTTTGGAGTATTTGAATTACAATTTAGGTTATTACAACATCAAACAATCTCCAGACAATGACATTTTTTTCTGTTGCTTTTTGTCGTTATGACGATCATTGATTTTATCATTCATGATGATGATCTTATCAAAAGAAAACGGAAAAAATTCTTCCTGATTTTTGTTATAAAATTACTGCATTTCGATGACTTGCATTTGTTTTTCTTTTTATTTCTTTGATGGAATGGTTCATTCATTCAATCAAACAAACAAACGTATGGTGGTCCATTGACGCCACAATTCAGACAGGTGAGAAGAAAATCGCTGAAACATGGTTCACAATAGATTAAACGACAATTTATAGATGAACAAAAATAATATGGTGGTTTGATCAAAACATGACAAGTGAAACATTGTTTACGTTGTGTAAGAATTTTTCGTTTGATAAATTCGTAAAATCGTCGAATTAATGGAGATTTTTTTGAAATTTTCTTCTTTTCAATTTCATATTGATGAATAGGATCCAATTCTTTAGCAAACATCCGATTCGCTTGAACCATAGTATCGATATGTCGTCGTCGAAACCGAAGGAATCGTTTTCGATTTATTAATTTTTGATTATAAAGATAAAGATTTCTTTGTTTACCATAACGATAATAGAAAAAATCACAAATCAAATGTCTACAACGAACAAAATGTATGGCCAATGAATGTAAAAGCATTAGCAATATACAATCAGCGAAAATATCCTGATATTGGGGCCATCCTAATTGTTTGGGATTCGATTGTCGACATGTATGCCAATCATGACGAAATAATTCCGTATAATTAAAATGAAAATGTCCAACAAAATTATTGATTATTATGGCGAAAATGCCACCAGTAGCTTTAGGATGATATCGATGTACGAGTAAATCAAAATGATCACTAGTTGATAATTTGGCTGCCATCAGGTTGACACATTCGGAGAATATGTAATCAATATAAAGAACAATTGCCAATGTTAAAAGTGTGACAGTAATGATTTTCTTTTGTAATTTATAATAAACAGCTTTTTCGTAGATACTTCGTTTTAGACTGAATGTCGGTATAAGTTGCCATCGATCATTACCACGTAATGGTAACAAATGAATCTTGTTCATTACTTTACGTTTATTATCGATATGGTAAAAATATCGATCAATATAATGATTATCAAAATTAGAAAATCTAAGATAACGATTATGATAGAAAATGGCTCGAATCATTCCAGATATCAGTGATCCAAGAAATACTAGACGAATTAGCACACCAAACAATCCAATCCATTCGAATTCGGCACGAAATTCTTCTTCAATATCCATTCGATAACCAACTAATGATTGCCACATTTCTAATGCTTCATTCATTTGTTTGAAATTATCACCAGATTTCACCAATTCTAATGAATCAAGTAAATCATAATTGGACATATGATTGCTGAAATTTTCCAATTTTTCAAATGGTTCATTCAATTTTGAACAAAAATTCGAATTAAATTCATCCATTGCTTTGTAGCAAACATTGTAAACCTGATTATAAATTTGTTTGGTCAAAATGTTACTATCATTGTATAATTTTTCCATTGAGCTACTACAATGATCATCATTTTTTAATGGTTCTATAAGCGAATCACAATAACCATTTAGCTTTTCAACATCAACTTGGAACGATTTGAATGCTTGAGTTAGATTTTCTTTGACAATATGCAAATCATTTAAATCTGTTAACGATATTGATAAATTCGATGAATGAGTAAACCATTCAATGATTGGACGTGCAGCCAATCGTGACATAGCTTTCTCTCGTGATTGACCTACAATTCGAAAAAAAACAAATTAAGCATTGATAAACAAACGAGAAAAAAAAAACTTACGAAAATTAATAAGACAAGAAATCATACTCCATAATGCGCGAATATTACCAATTACAGATGGTAACAATACATGTTGTGTGCGTTGTACGAGGCGTAAATAGAAAAATATTCCATTCGATGTAATAATCAATGATGGTAATAGTAGACAGATTACCGTGCGAATTTGTACGGAAAACACAAAGCCAATAATCATGATAACTAGACCCCATTTATGTATGAATATACTATCTTTATCTTCTGGCGTTTGTGGCAATTCCACACACAAAATCAACAAGAATTTACATACTAAATAACCACCAAACATGCAGAATAATCTTCGCAATACAATATATTCATCCGGTGGACAACGATATATTATTCGATGAACGATTGGTAATTCATTTTTGATGCGCATTTCAACATAGTCCAATATACGAATCAGAAATATATCAAAACTAACTGGTTTTGGTTTCGCACGAATCCAAGGCATGGCCAATGATTGCCAAAAATGGAAATCTCTCCAAATTCAAATTAAATGTAAAACAAAACAAAACAAACCACCAATTCAATTAGAATTTTTTTTATCATCACGCAAATTCGATTAACAAAACCAGTCACAATCTGTGGCGACATCTATCGTTTGAGAATCTAAAATTTTTATTTATTTTTTTCCAAATTTTTGAAATTATTTTTCTCACAATTCCACAATCACTATAATGATAATTATTATGATGATGATGATTATAGATTTTTAATATCAGGAAATTTAGCAACAAAAAAAAACTTTCATTAATACACACACACAAACAGCCGCTCCAGATGGTACAAAAGTCATCTAGATAGATTTCAATCTCTCTCTCTCTCTCTCAAAATAAAATCCTTGAGGCCAAAAATAAAAATCGAAAGAAGAATCATAGAAAATCGATACAATTCTTATTATTTTGAGATAGAAAAAAACGAAAAAATCGATACTACGTTCATCGCAAATTATTGTCCAACAAAAAAAAATCGACAAAAACAGTGTGTGTGTGTTTGAAAGAACCAACAAACAAAAAAAAATCAAGCCCAATTTCTCAAACCAAACCCGAAGAAAAAGAGTATGAAAAGATGCTTTTTGAAAGATTGTTTGATCTTCATCATCTTCATTTCGATCCATGTGAATCTATGAATCGAAAACGAGGAAGAAGAAAAGAGGCAGGACAAAACTAGCCGGCCGTGTATGTGGATAAATTAATTGCTTTAGATTTGGAAATGTTTAGATGTATGACTTTTCTCTTTTCCTCCCTCTCGAAGAAATAGAAGAATATTCCAAGAAAAACAAATCGAAAATGAGAAAAGAAGGCCAAGTGATAACTCAATAATAATTCATTGCATACAATGATCATTTTGCCACACATTGAAATGTCAAATGTGGGCGCGTCATTTTGGCCAATGTTTTTACATTGGTCATCGTCGAATAAGAAGAGCAAAAAGTTGAAGAAAACAAATGATGATCTTTTTTCCCGTTTAATTGGGTTCTTTTCTCTTAATTTTCTTTGTTGTTTTTTGTTTTATTATCATTTCTTGTGTTTGTTTTTGTTTTGTTTTTTGATTCTCCACCCTCGCATTAAAATTGGCTCGATCCATTCTCGCGAGAAGAAAAAATCTATTCAAATTCGTATGTTATACATCATATATCGATGGAACTGAAATATTTCTGCAAAGAAGCAAAAAAAAGGGATGCAAAAAAACATTGAACAGAGAGATAGATAGAAAAAAAAACACAAACCACAAACACATACTTACACGCACACACAAAAACGATATCTCCGAAAAAAAATTTGTACGTGACTTGAAGTGATAATTTTGAAAGTGAGTGACAACAATAACAACAATCGACCAATAACAACAACAACAACAACAACAATTGACAATCGAATGTGAAGTAGTGATGTAAATAATACATTGTCATTGGTGGTGGTCAAGTGATGTCTCTCTGTGTTTATCTCATTTCATTGATGATCCGGTTTATCCATGGTCCGATTTGATTGCTACTACGAATATAGGCACAAAACAACGATGATGAAGATGAATGGCAATTGATGATTGTGGTTTGGATTTCATTATCAATGTTGCTGTTTAGTTAATAAAAACCAAATGACGCCGACCGACCGACCGACCAAATGAATTTGGAATGGCAATACGTGTGTGCACATTTTCTTTTCATTATATAATTGGCAGCAATAGCCAAAAATAGAGAGAGAGAGAGAGAGAGCCAAAGGCAATATGTGTGTGTGTGTGTGAAGAAACTTTGTTTTAGTTCATTTTCTGGACAAAAAAAAACCAACCGACAAACATTTGATCAATATGATGATGATCATCATCATCTTATACCAATGATGAATATAAAGAGAGAAAAGTCCAATAAAACTTGATGACAATTTTGTTTTGTTTTACATTCGGATATGTTTTCGGGTGAATAGAAACCATCGATTCTGTACATTCTTATATTGTGTTTGTATCATTGTGATTCTATTTATTACATACATGGTATGGGGTTTGGGGTTGTCACATATAGATTCATTAATAACATTTTTGGTTGTCCAAAAACAAACGAGAATATAGAAAATTTTCTTCTTTCTTGTATATCTCTTTTCCAAATCATTTACTCAACTTTTACTATGACACAAGTTGTATTGTAAACGGTATCGTGTGTTTGGTATTACGCCAATATCAACAACAACAACAACAACGACGACGACAAAAGTGCCAAAGTGAATTATTAATTTAATTAAAAATAGCCAACCGACCAACAAGAATAATGGGTGAGAAAAACTAAATAGTCTAGGATTTTTGGGTTTTGGCTATTCTATCCAAGGTGTCTCTGAAATCAAAAAAAAAATGACCAATTACACACATTATTTGTGTAACAATAAAATATTATCAGCAATTTTTAATAATAACTTGAATTTAAATGAAAAAACCATCTTCAAATTCGTTGTCGTTATCATTGATTACAAATCTTGATAAATTGTGAAAACACTTTGAATTAAAATTCTTGATTTCTTTCTTCGTCAAAAAATAAAAAAACGAATAATACAGAATCGGTGTTTGTGTGTGTGTGTTTGCCATTCGATGTGATTTATATTTACAAAAAAATGATGACGATGATTGACTACAGGTGCCACGTGTCGACAATGATGTCTTCATGCCAATGATGACGCCATGAAATTAGGACAAGAAACCATAACAGTATGATTAACATGATCATCGATCGATTAGTAGCGTTGCTGGCATTACTATTATTGCCTAAAGAAGATGTATAAAAATTCCAAAAATCTTTTTTTATGAAATATAAAAAACAAACGAAAAAAAATTGTGATGTGATCTCTCGATTGATTGATTGGTTGATTGAAAAATGAATAGATGGAAAAAAATGACATCAAACTTACCCATAACAATCATTGATTTTTCAGCGGCAACCGTTTGAAATGTACCTTCAACGGATATTTCGCATTTATAATTGCCGGTAGTTTTTTTGTTCGTTTCTGTAATCACAACACGACCGCCTTCAGATTTATTTACCTGAAAAAATAAACAAATCACATGCAAAACAACAGACAAACAAACAAAAAAATCCAATAATATTTACATTAACATTAACACCATCCAACGGGAAGAATTGTTTATATGGTTTAATTGTAGGAGTGTAACGAAAAAATTCTTGTTCATCCAAATCAGTATCATTTGCACGATAGAACCATTTAAGTGAATACAATGATGCATTACCACCGCCTAAATCATAAAGACATGATAATTCAACTTCGGATCCTTTTCGTACTTGACTTGGTACATTTAACGCAACCACTCGTACATCCGATAAACCTATGTGTGTAGAAGAAAAAATTAGAGAAAAAAAAATGATGATGATCATCATCATAATGACCAAACACACATTGTGTTTCTGTACGTGTCGCGTTGGCTTTTGTTTTTGTTCATTAATCATAAAAAACACATACACACACCATAAGGAAAATCAAGGAATTGAACCTTTTTACTTTGACCCGTTTCTTTTCTATTTTTTTTTTTCAGTCGAAAGAATCGATCCAAAAAATAAAATGGCTAAGTGATTAATTGAAATAAAATCAAGCCAACAACTTTTTTTTCATAATGATGAAACTGCCAGAAGTGATTCAATCGAACGATATGATTCATTTTTGGATCCTTTACTTTTACTTTCGATTAAAGTTTTTTCTCTTTCTTGTATATATTCTAGACGAGTGTCGATGAATACAACTTGTGTTGTTGTTTGTTGATAAAAATATCAAAGTAAAAGAACGTAACTTTTTTTCCATTTCTTATTCTGTTGGTTGATATGTGTTTTATTATTGTTTTTTTTCTCTGGCTGGTGGCATCATCATCAGTAGCTTTTTTTGCACCATTATCATCATCATCAACAACAACAACAACAGAAGCGAAATTGATTTCTGATTGTCTATGAATTGTAAAAGTTTTCGTTTTTTGTGTTCTGTGCAGGGCTTTTGGAGAGATGAGAGAGAGAGAGAGAAAGAATAAAATATCATCATCATCAGAAGAAGAAAAAGAAGACGAAAAAAACCCAGTAAGTAGTCAATTTAGAATCTCTCTCTATTGTATATCATGGAATCAAAACACAGAAGTAAGTGTCCATCATCGACACACAAAAAAAATGTTTGAAACAATCAATTGTTTACATGGAATAAGCTCTCTTCATATCTCTTGAAAAGTCAATTTGGTCGACCAAAATCTTTTTCTATTCATCATCATCATCATTTTGATGACTTCAATTGTGTGTGTGTGTGTGTGTTTATAATGCTAGTCAAACATTGTATGTTTTTTTCAATGTAAAGTTTGTCCACAAATACACAGACACACACACACACACACTTCTTATATACAGATGGATTCAATTGTGGATCATTGAAGCAGCAAACAATCCAAAAATCCAAAGTGATCCATATCATCATCAACAACGACAACAACAACAACTATTTGATGATGTTCATGAATAAATGTTTACTTTACACACACACACACACAAGATCATCATCATCGTTTTTGTTGTTGTCATAAGCTAATTGATCCATTTTTTATGGGAATTTAAGATGTGAAAAAAATAATAAATCTAATATAACAACGACAACAAAAATGTCTTTTTTTTCTCTTCTAAATGGATTTTTTAACATTGTTTGCATTTGTTTTTTTCTACAAAAAGCTTGAAAAGCCAAGTAGTCTCTCTGTTTGTGTGTGTGACATTCAGAAATGTGGATTTTAGATTTTTCAAATCATCAGCAAAATTATCAACAACAACAACAAAATGAAGATATCAAGAACAATGATTTGCACGTATACGTAGTACGCATACGTAAATTATTTTGTCATTATTTTGCAGCAAAATTCTACTTAAAAACCAGAAAAAAATCCAAAACTAACCGATAACAATCATCATAAATATACTTCTTTTTAAGCACCACCACTTTTAAACCATAAATAAAAAGTGATGAAGAGCACCACCAATATAATGGGAAAAACGAATGAACGAGAAAGAAATTGAGTCAATTTATATACAATCACCATCATCATCATCATTATAATACACACACACACAGATAATATTATCATCATCATCATCATATCAATGATGATCATAATAATAAAAACAAAAAAAAAATTCCTGCGACAAAAACCTCATCCATTTAAATCAGTTTTCACTTTCCAATTTCCATCAACAACACCTTTGGAGATAACCCACAAGTTTTTTGCGCTGATCACAACTCACACACTACAAAACAAAGAAAAAGGAAGAAATATTCAAAAGCATATCGAGCTTTTTTTGTGATAACGAAAAAAAAGCAAGAAAGATAAAACCCGAAATGGAAAATGGTTTTTAGCGAAAAAAAAAATAACAATTCCAAACAACAACAACAGCAACAGCAGCAGCTGAAGAAAAAGCCATTTCTTCAATTTAAAATTAAAATCGTTTTTCTCTGTTTCATTCTTTCATATATATTGTCAATATATGATGATTTGGTTACACATGTATGCATCTATCTCAATAGGAGGATTCTATAGACTGAAAATGTGAAACGAAATAATCTTTATTTATTTATTTCACAACAAAACACACACACACACACAATACACGAACCACCATTCAAAATCCAGAATGGCCAGGATCTAATGTTTTAGAATAAATGTGCCAAAAGTGTATGTTACATGTTAATGGCCAGTTGTAGCCGTGGATCACTACCACCAGCAGCAATCTTTGTTTCACTCTCACAAACAATTGTCAAATTTTCGAATTTTTTTCCCAAATTCGGATTCAAATTTTCAATTCCTGAAAAGAAAAGAAAAGCTTATATGACGTTTTTTCAATATTCTAATGACACGCATTTAATTCGACGGGAAAGCACATAAGTCATTAAAAAAAACAGAATAGAATAGAATAGAATATTTTTTTTAATGTTGTCACACTAGCAACAACAACATTATTCTTGATTCGTTGCACACAAACACACATGTATGTGTGTAAAAGTGTGTGAAAAGAATTCTATTTTTTTCAATTTTAATTTAAAAGATAAAAAAAAAATTTCAAACTAAACTAAAATCATTGAAAAAGGTTTGAATCATTCGTTTGCTTTTTCTGCTTGTTTTTTTCACCCTAAATCAAATGAGCGATAAAACAAATGAAAATTGATGGGCCAATGCCGAAGAGAAACGAAAAATGAAAACGAAAAAAAAACCGTTTTCATTATAAATGGAAAAAATGGCATCTTTTTTCTGAATATTATTATATTATACGAATACGAGATTATTCATGATTGAAGTTTACAAAAATGAAATTACAATTTGGCCCTTTATGAAATAATGTGAATATATATTGAATTAAATCCAATATAAAATGAATATAACTTACCTTGAACAGAATGAATTAGATTCATCGAGAATATAATCAAATGAATAGTGGATATCATCGCCATCATATGACGAATTTGTTGTTGTTGTTGACATTTTTTCCATATCATTATCGTTTTCCTGGCCATCATCATCATTATTATCAAGAATAAATCACATTTGATCATAGTGTGTGAGTGTGTGTGTGCGAGTGTTGATTTAAAAAAAAATGGTAATAATGATTGTGACAAATGCACAAACACAACGAGAATAAATAGAGGCAGAAACAACAAAATCGATGAGAATAATCGGATTTTTCTCTCTCTCTCTCTATTTCATCACTAGAATAATTGGAGTAGAAAATAAATAAATAAATCGTACTACAAATGATGATGACTAGCAATTGAATAATTGTCCGGAAGGAGAAAAATTTTAATTCAATTCCAGTGATTATGAATCTAAATTGGAATTTGTTTTGTGTAAACAATCAGAGTTTGCGTACTGAGTGAATTGTGAATTTCTTAATCAGAAAAAAAATGTTGTTGTTGTTGTCAATGTCGTTGTTGAGAAAAAGTTCCAATGAAAAAATCAAAAAAAAAATTTGCATTGCAAAAAACAACAACAAAAAACGAGATGATTTTTTTTCCATTTCAATGTCGATAGTTTTGGTTGGTCGGTCGGTTGGACAATCTTTGACTGATGAAAATTTTTGAAAATGAATGAAAAAGTTGGTTATTATTCGGTTCGATGCAGCGTTATACACACACACACAGACTGGCACTGAAAATGATGATGAAAATTGAGACACATCAAAAGCATCAGCATTAATGGTAGTCAGAATTTTTTATTTTCCTCTATATTCTGGATCGTTTGATACTTTTAGTTGTTGTTGTTGTTGTTAGATCCATTGCAGTTTTTTTTCGTTTCGTTTCGTTTTGATTAAATCGAGTGAAAATGAAAATGAATGTGAAATGGCTCCATTCATTTCACATTCATAGTTGTGATATTGCCGAAAAAAAACAGTCGTCATTTGTGCAATGTGTTGTGTGTGTGTGTCTGAATGCATGATGATGTGATTAGATGACGATAATGAAAAACAATTGATAAACGAAACTGAAAAATTCAGATTCCACACACATGTCAATGTCATTGATCAGCGAAAATGATGTTTGAAATTTTCTACAAACAAACGAAAAACATTTCCAAATGTTAATGTTAATTAATCAATACGATATAATAAATAATACATTGTGTGGGTGTGTCTGGTCAACAATAAAATGGGTGGAGAAACCTTTGATCATCATTGATGACCAATGATCCAATTGTAAAAAAAACCGACCAAAACAACATATGGGAATGAAAAGAAGAACAAATTATAATCGGTAAAAACAAGCAAAATGTATGTAGCTGGTTTGAATAGAATGGTGTACAATATGGTTGGAAATTTCACACATGGATCGATTTTAACAAAACAAAAGAAAAAAAATTACATGTCCAATCCATAATGCTCATGATGAGGATAGGGTCAACCTCTCATCTTCATCAGCGGTTGGTCATTGTTCTATTGTTCCACTGGACAACAAAGACAAAACAAAATTTTTTTTTTTTTTGAAAATGACTTCACTATTGTCATATACACAGACAAACAAACAAACAAATAAAATGCAGAAAATAATCAATTTTGAAGATTAGACAAAACAAGTTGTGGATGCTGTTGCTTTTGTTTTTTTGCTCAGAATGTTGTTGCTCATGTCGAGTGGTGTGTGTGTGTGTGTATGTGTGTGTGAACCGATCGGATTCTAGATCCAAACTGAAATGTGTTTTATTCTGTTGTTTCAATTCAACCATGATCCAATATTATGGAACAATCTGGTTGCATTTTAAAAATTGGGTAGTAGCAAACAAAAATGGAACACTGCCGCACACACACACACACACAATGGAATATTCGTACAAGAATAACCAACGAGAGACAAAGAGAATGAGAGAAAAAAAAATAATAAGAATGCATTCGAAGCATCTTTCGAAATCGACCAGTACCAAGTCAAGTGGAACGACGAAGAAGAAGAAGAAAAAAAAAAAAAATAATTCCGTGCACACAATGCAATGGTCAGCAAAATAATTCTTTCGCTTATTCGATATGTTTTCGTTTTCATTATAATATTACGATGACGATGATGATTATTATATGGAGAGACTATATGACAATAATATACGACAACAACGGTATCAAACAATGGAAAGCAGACTTTTTTTTATAGTTATAGTCATGATTGTTTCATGAAACGTAAAGATTCAATATACATAAAGGGACATATACAAATGTTCAATTCAAATTGGAATTACAACCAATAAAAAAAATGCGAGAATAACAAACACGTGTTTTTTTTTTTTTTTTGGTTCACTGAAAACCTGAATAAAATGGCCAAAATATAAATTTATTATTTGAGTGATTTGTTCGACCAAATCTTCATAATAAGAAATGGAAATTTTGTCTTGTTTACTGACTAGTAGGTGTGTGTGTGTCATTGAATTCATCTTGTACACATCCATTCATGCGATGTCATATATTTGTGTGTGAGACACATAAACATAATTGAATCCTGTATACACAAACATTAGGCCAATAGTCACGTTCCGGTAATTTTACCCAATTTTACTCAATGTGTGAGTAACAAACAAGAAAATGAAAAATAAAAAAAAATGAGGTGATTAGTTTTTTGGCTCGAAACCATCATCATCATCATCATCAAGCAAGCTGAAAAAAATGAATGTGAATGTGAACTTCAGCATGGATCTCAAGTTATAAAGCCCAAATAATCAAATTCAAACAAATAACAAATTCTATTACAGAATGTTTCATTGAAAAAAAATGAGAATCATTTGACAAATCTGTCCAATGTAATGCTGCCATTCGTTTTTTCTTTGATTTTATTAGATCATTATCATCATTAGATTTGATTGATATAAATATTTTTTTTGTCGGCTAAATTTGGACACGTTTATTCATCAAAAATAATAATCTAGTTTCTAGAAAAAAATTGAAACCAAAGCAAAAGAATTGTTTCAAGATTGGTAATAATAACTCTGTCTATGGAACGAAAAATACAGAAACGCACACTATTTGTCATTATTATCCACCAGCACAGCCATCACCGTTAAGTGCTCGCCATCACCATCGCCAAGCTTACATACACAAACAAATTTTCTTTTATTTTTCATTGTGAATCACCAAAAAAAAAATAAAATGAGAACGAGAGAGATGATTATGCATAAATGGATTCTTCAACTGAATAAATGAATGGTGAGTGAATGAAGATGATGATGTGAGTTTTTTCTCTTTTTCTTCAAAAATTTTTGATGCTCGCATCATTCAATTGAGCGGTGGTGGTGGTGGTGGTTCCAATGCAATTTCCACCTACTACACCCATACGCATTAATCAGGGCGTCAGAAATGTATTTGTATTTGTGTGTGTGTAGTAAATGGCACTTTTACAATGGAGTACTTTACCAGAAAAAAAAAAAACGAAAATCTTTTGGAAATTTTGAGTGAGAAAAATGCAAAATCACACACACACACAGATACACAATTACTGTCTCTAGAGGTAATAGAGTTTAAAGAAAAATGGGAGGACCACGAAGAAAAAAGAAAATTAAAATTAAATTAAATTAATTTTTTTTTGTCGAAAAACGTAACGTGATGTGATGATGATGATGATGACGACGAAATTTGAGGGATTTAGTGAGTGGTCTGACACCGTCATCATAATCATCATCATCAAAAATTACTTTTCATGATGAAAATGTCCAATTCAAAATCATCAAATTCAAAAAACAAAACAAAAAAATCTTTTGTTGTTCACAAATGACATGATACTGATGTTGTCTGCTGTTTCTAGTAAAACACAGCACAATTGATTCATTCGAAAAAAACAAAACAAACGAAAACTGGAAAAATTAAAAAACCAAAATTCAAAAAAAACCGACAAAATCTCCTGAATTTCCAAGTTATTTCTTTTGTTTTGTATTTTTTCGTGTTTCCTCAATTCTCAATTGGAGAGGATAACCAAACTAGAAAATATTGTAAAGTCAAACGAGAAAAAAAAAGAAACGAAATCAATTTCCTGTAGTTTCTGGTGATTTTTCGCATGAGAATTGATTCGATTCTTGTTGTTGTTTTTGTTGTTGTTGTTTGATTCATTCGATTTTGGAAAAAAAAAAAAAAGCATTTTCGATTTTCTTGGATTCAAGTTTCAACAACAACAACAACAAGAACAACATTTGGACAAACAAACAAAATAAAAACGCGACAAGGAATTGTCATTTCCTAATAATCATAGATAGACATTACATTACAATACATGACAATGAATGAATCTTTCCTGTGTTTTGTATGTGTGCGTATTAAGCTGCCAAAATTTCAAAAGAATTGTTTTCCTTCTCTCTCTCTCTCTCTCCTCATCCATCCTTACACAAAACTTATTTTCTGGATGGTTAAAATAAAATTGAAAAATATACTTTGGGTTATAAGAAAAACAACAACAACAACCAAAAATCCAATACAAGTTCCGATGTTTTGAAAATAAAAACATAATATATGTACACATAGGAGACGACAGACAATTGAATGAATCGGTGGCGATGGTGGTGGTGCTGGACGAATAAACGAAATAAAAAATCATCATTGAGAATCAATGAAAAAAGAAGAATAAAAATTGACCAGGAAATTGGATATTGTCCGGCGGTCGATATATTTGAAAAAAAACTTGTTGTTGTTGTCGTCGAATCGAGTTTTTTTTCGACTAAAGCCAAAAAGCTTGTATTCAAGATCAAATTACACAAAATAAAAAAAAGGAGATTCACCAATATCAACGAAAGAAGGCCGAAAATCAGATTAATTTTGGTTTTTCTTGCTTTGTTTCGTCTGCACACACACACACACACACTCAAAGGTCTACTACTGATGATGATGGCCACTTTTCGTTAATTGCCATTCTGTGTGTGTGTGTGAGAGAGAGAGGCAAAAAAGTTTTTCTGGATCGAAAATTCCCATTTTTTTCGAAATAGGTCCGAAAAAATAGCAATCAAAACGGATCATAGAAAAACAAAGTCGTTGGCATCACACACACACACACAGACACAAGTATCGTTATAGTTTTTTTCTCTTTCTTTCGAGCATTTCTCTGGATAAAATTGGAAATTAAGTGCGGTCAAATGACCAGGCAAAAAAAAGTGTGAAAATAAATAACAAAAAAAAACTTTTTTTTTTGTTGGTTCACCACCATTAAAACCATCAAAATCACCACCACACGAGAACTTACTTTTTTTCATATTATTGATCTATTTATACACACAAAAACCACTTACGATACCCGCACTCACACACACACACATGCTATATGTTGACCAAATAATCATCAATTGGTCAATTAATGAATTTCTCGCCACGTAACAATATTCTAAATTGTCAATTATAGCCACAGCATACAACTAATTAGATGACCAATTGATAATTGATGGAGAGAGATATCCACTACTAAATTAGATAGT